TCGGTGGCAGCTGATGCTGTCCCTTCCGAGCCGGCTGCTGCTGCTGCGGGTGCTGCAGCAGCGGGTCGCGCTGCTGCTCGGCGCATCTCCACCGCCTCTATCGTCAGCAGCCGCAGCTGCTGCTGCAGTATCTCCTGCCTCAAATCCGCAGGCAAAGCTTCTAAGAAAGAGGGATCCACTCCTGCTGCTTCCAGCAGAGAGGCCTCAGTCAGCCCCAGAGCGCATGCAAGCGAAGCCAGAGATGGCTCTCCGCTGCTGCTGTCGTTGTTGCTGCTATCGTTGTTGCTGCTGCTGTTATTGCCGCTGTCGTTGCTGCTGCTGCTGCTGCTGCTCGTGGCACGCTGAGTCGCGTCCCCAGTATCCACGTCCATAGAGTCTCCATCTGCTGTTGCTGCTGCTGGTGCCGCTGTTGCCGCTGGTGCTGCTGCTGCTGCTGGTTCCGGCTCAGCAGGCGCTGCCTCTGCCGTTCCTTCTGCTGCCTCACGTTGTGCTGCAGCAGCTGCTGAGTTGGCAGCAGGGGGCTCTGTGCCTGAGGTTGCCGCAGTGTTCGGTGTGGGCGACTGATTCTGCGAGCCTTGCTGCTGCTGCTGATCCTGCTGCTGCTGTTGCTCCTGCTGCTGCTGCTGCTGCTGTCCCTGTTGCTGTTGCTGCAGTTGCTGAGTCAATGGGGTCTCTTCCGTCGCCAAAGTTTCGGCTGCTGCTACTTCTGCTGCTGCTGCTGCTGCTGCCGAGCCTTCTGCAGGCTGGTCCAAAACTATCGCCTCGCCGTCTGCGGAAGCTGCAGGGCGTTCTGCTGCTGCATCTTCTGCAGCATGAGGCGACACGCCCTCTGCCTGCACAGAGGTTGAGGGAGTTCCCTCTGCTGCTGCTGCTGTTGCTGCTGCGCCATCTGCCGGCGCTGCAGCTGCTTCTGTTCCTGCTGTTGCTGCTTCAGCTGGAGCCGATGTCTGCGGGGAAGGGCAAGCTTGCAGAGGCGCTGGGTCAACTTCGATGCGGTTGATGTTTCGTGTGCCTAGTCTGTCGACTACGAAAGTGGAGAGCATGTGCTGCGCTGCTGTAGCTGCTGCTGCCATAGTTGCTGCTGCTGATGTTGGTACGGAGACGGCTGAGCTCATGTCCCCGACGGGCTGCTGCTGCTGCCTTCCGCCGGCGGCAGCCGCAGCTACTGCAGCGGCTGCTGCAGCTTCCTGCTCGCGGCTCTGGCGAATCTGCTGCAGCTGCTGCTGCAGCACGCGCGGCTGCTGCCCGTGGCGACGCGCAGCAGCAGGGCGGAAAAGCCCCCCTGCGATGTCTTCGAAGAGAGTATCGAGCAACCTGTCGCCGAGGTTTGCTGCTCCTGCAGTGGTGATGACGTTGCTTCCCCCGTTGCTGCTGAAGAGCGCAAAGGGATTACTGCTGCTGCTGCTGCTGCTGCCGCTGTGGTGGTGACTAACAGCCGCAGGAGAAGGCCTCGGGCACTGCAGAAACAACGGGTGCTCCGAGGGGGGCAGCAGATCTGCATCGGGGGGGGACTGTGGGGCCTGCCCCATGAGGTCGTCGCCGTTGATGCCTGCTGCCGCTGCTGCTGCTGCTGCAGGCGCTGCTGCTGCTGCTGCTCCCGCCCGCCGCGAGCCTCCCCCCGTGTGGCCCGAAGTCAAAGGCGCTATAGTTATGCCCCTCTCCTCTGCTTCCTGCAGCACTGAGCGAATCACTGCAGCATCATCAGCCCCCGCGAGGCCCCCGAAGTCAATCTGCAGCCTGAAGGCCCCCCGTGGCTCTCGCTGCAGCGCCGAGCTGATGATGTTGACGGACTCCGCTGTCACAGCAGCAGCAGCAGGAGCTGCTGCTGCTGCTTCCTCCTGAGACTCGCTCTCCAGCTCCTCCTCCTCGTCCTCCAGCAAACCCAAAACCCCCCGGTCTAATCCCGCGAAGGCGCTGCGGCCTCCCCGGCCCTCGCCTGCTGCTCTCCAGGGCCCGCTGGTGCCCCGCGAGCGCATCCCGCTGCTGCTGCTGCTGCTGTGGCTGCTGCTGCCGGTGCCGCGGTGGCCGCGCCGCTGGGTCGCAGCCCCCGGGGCTCCTGCTGCTGCTCCTGCTGCTTGGGCCGCGAGGCCTGACGCGCCTGGGGCTGCAGCAGCAGGGGCCGCTCCCGCGCTGCTTGCGGGAGCTGAAGAAGACAAGGAAGTGCCCTGCTGCTGCAGCTGCTGCTGGTCAAGGTTTTCCGCCGCCATCGCTCCAGCAGCTGAGGGATCGACTGCGCTGCTGCCAGCCGGCTGCTGCTGCTGCTGCTGCTGCGGATTTTGCTGTTCGTCCGCCTCCATGGGGGCGCCGTCGCGTGGGCCGGAAGCCGAAGCGGCTCCTGCTGCTGCACCAGCAGCAGGAAGAGCAGCAGGAGGCGGGGGCAGGTCCTGCTGTTGCTGCGCTGCGCCGCCAGCCGCAGCAGCAGGCCCCTGTGCTGCAGGCGGCGGAGGGGGAGGGTCTCTGGGCACGACTGTTTCTTCAAGAAAGGCGTGGGCCAGCAGGGGCCCCTGGGAGGCCCCTGAGCCCAAGGGGTGCAGCCCATCCACAATATCTGCGCCGTCCAAGTCTTCCTCTTCAGGTCCCGCAAGATAGTCTATTTCGCCCCGTTCCTGAGAACAAAAAGGATCCAAACCCCACACCCTAAACGCTAAACCCTAAACCCTAAACCCCATGCCCACAGCAACCCCCAGCCTTCTGCAGCAAACACTAAACCTGCACCCCTTTTGCTGCACAGCTGGGCCTGAGCCCCTGAACCCCCAGCCTCCAGCAGGTGTCCCCGCGCTGTAGCTGTGTTGCCGCAGAGCGAGCCTGAGCGTGTCGCGGCTGCTGCGAGCTGCTGCAGGGTCCCGCGGAGCGCCGCTGCTACTGCTGCTGCTGCTGCTGCTGCTGCTGCGTTGCTGGGCCTCACCCGGATTCTGGGGGCGTCGTCGTCGTCGTCTTCGTCGTCTTCGTCTTCGTCTTCGTCTTCGTCTTCGTCGAGGCCCTCGGGGCCCTCCGCGTGGCCCAGCAGCTGGCCGTCTTCACCCGCCAGCTGCAGCGCCCGCCCCCCCTCCGACTCCAAGTCGATTTCGTGGGGCAGCCGCCCGGAGCCCAAGAAGGCCCCGCGGCCGGCGACTGCGCCTTCGCTCTCTTCGTCTTCGCTGTTCTCTGCACGCCCACGCCACTCCGCGCTGCTGCACAGTCAGCAGCAGCTGCTGCTGCACCAGCTTATGCTGCTGCAGCGGAACCCGCGACCAGTACGGCTGCTCCCGCTGCTGCGCAGTCGGCAGAGGGAACGACTCGCTGCTCCTGCTGCTGCGCAGGCTGCAGCTAGCGGCTAAAAGGCCCTCTAGCTGTCGCTGCTGCAGAGGCAGCAACTACCTGCTGCTCTTGCTGCTGAGGCTGCAACTACCCTGCTGCTTCTGCAGATGCAGCAACTACCTCCTCTTCTGCTGTGAACTAGTTGCTGTTGCTCGTGCTGCAGAGGCAACAGCTAGCTGCTACTGAGGCAAAGCTTGCTGCTGCTACTCACCTCCGTATTCCTCGTCATCCTGCGACTCCTCGTCGTCTTCATCGCCAAGACCATCTAAGACAGAAAGTTCCGCGAAGCCATCTTCATCATCATCGTCATTGTCTTCATCATCGTCTTCCTCATCGTCCTCAGGTTCGTGGTCGTTGTCTGCGTCTGCTGCTGCTGCTGCTTCCTCCGCAGCAGCAGCGGCAGCAGACAAGCTGCCGCCGTCCGCCTCGTCGGCCTCCCCGGCGGCGAGCGCGCCGCGGGCCGCGGCCGCAGCCTCGTCGTCCTCTTGCTGCTGCTGCTCGTCGTCGTCATCCAGCTCGCTGCTGCTGCTGCTGCTGCTGCTGCTGCTGCTGTCCTCCTCCAGCACTAGCTCGAGGTCCCCCTCCTCGTCGTCTTCGTCCATCTCGTCGAGGTCTGCTTCGTCTTCGTCGCCCTCATCGCTCTCCTCTTCCTCTCTCTCTGCAGCATCTGCTGCAGCTGCTGCAGCAGCTGCAGCAGCAGGGTCGCCGCCGCTGCCCACGCTTCCGGGAGGAGACACGTGCCCCGTGCCGCTGTGCTGCTGCTGCTGCGGCTGCTGCTGCTTGCCCGTCTCCAGCCCTGGCAGCTGCGCAGCTGGAGGAGATGTGAGGTGCAGCAGACACCTTATGATGCTCGTCGCCACAGCGTGGCTGTCTTCGGCCTGCAGACTCAGCTGCAGCAGCAGCCCAGCGAGCAGCTCCCGCAGCTGCCGCTGCTCCTTAGGAGACAGACATTGAACAGCTCGAGCTGTTTGCTGCTGCTGCAGGTCTGTGCCCTCCAGCAGGTCTGAAGGGCGGCCCGAGTTCTTGCTGTTGGGGCGCTCCCCATCGTCTCCGTCGTCCCCGCCACTGCTGGCGCTGCTGCTGCTGCTGCTGCTGCTGCCGCTGCTGGCTGTGCCTTGCGCGCCCCCGCTGCTTCGCGTGCGGCTTGCGCTGCTGCTGGTGCCGCTGTTCCCGCTGCTGCTAGTGCCGCTGTTCCCGCTGCTGCTGCCGTTAGCGCCGCCGCTGCTGCTGCTGCTGTTGCTGTTGCTGCTGCTGCTGTTGCTGCTGCTGCTGTTGCTGCTGCTGCTGCTGCTTTGTTGTTCCTGCTGAGCGCTTCCGGGACAGTCTGCGCCGCCCACATCCCCGCCGTCTCCATCTGGCCGCGGGTTATTAGGCGGTCGTGTGGTGTCTGAACAGCCAGCTGTTGCGTCAGCTGCTGCTGCTGGCACTTTGGAGTTTTGCTGCTGCGCATGCGCAGGCGGGACAGGTGGAGTTGCTGCCAGCAGCCGCTGCAGCAGCCCCGCCAGAACAGAAACCACACTAATGTCCAACAGGTCCTTGCCCTTTAGTGCCTCCAATGCCTCTGCAGTCATGCTTGTGCTGCTGCTGCCGGGGTCTCCTGCTGTTGCTGCTGCTGCTGCTGCGCGGCCCCTGGCCACCCGCAGCAAAGTCACCACGTGGCGAATCAGCACAAGGCGCATCTCCGCGTTGCTGCTTCCCATGGCTGCCAGCAGATTGGAAAACTGCTGCAGCATCCCAGCTGCTGCTTTTCGTTGCTGCTGTTGCTGCTGCTGCAGCTGCTGCTGCAGCTGCTGGCTGGAAGCCTGCGAGCTCCCCGCCAGAGAGATTGACAGCAACCGCGGCAGCACTTCGTGCACCAAGACGTCAACAACAGACATGCGCGGTGGACCCCCGCAGCTCTGGTGCTGTTGCTGCTGCTGGTCTTTAGTCCCGTGCTGCAGCAGGAGCCGCACGTCGCTGCCGCAGCACCGCAGCAACTCGGGGCAAGAGGAAACAAACGGCCAAGGAAACGGCTCCTTCATGTACAGTCTGGGCTCGAGGTGCAGCAGATGCTGCTGCTGCTGCTTCGGGCCAGCAGCTGTCTCCATTTTGACTCCATTTGCCTGCTGCTGCCCCTGCTGCTGCTTCAGCCTCGTCCGTCCAGCACTGCGGCCACCCACCTGCACGGCAGCCGCTGCTGCGCTGCTGCTGCTGCTGCTGCTGTCCTGTGCATGGGACAGTGCAGCGGGAAACGCCAGTGAAATGGGCTTCAGCAGCAGCGGCAGCATGTGGGGGAAAAGAGACACAAGCTGCGTCAAAATGTAAAGAAGACGATCAGCAGTGACTATGAAAGGAAACACTGGTTTTTGTGTGTGTGAATGGAGGCCCTCTTCCACTTCACACATCTGCCGCCACTCCCGCTGCTGCTGCTGCTGCTGCTGCTGCTCTTCCTGCTGCGAAGGCTTCGGCAGCGGCGCAGGAACTGTCCATGCATGCACGCTGAGCAGCAGCACCAAGTGATCCAAAAGCACTGAGAGGACCACTGGACCCACAACGGGAGGCTTTGTTGCAGCTTGTAGGAGCCGCCGCACCCGGCGCTGCAGCTGTTGCTGCTGCGGCTGCTGCTGCTGCTGCTGCTGCTGCCGCTTCTCTTCCGTCAGCCATCCCAGCAGCAAAACTTCCTGGAAGGACTTGTCGCTGCAGCACCACGTGCGCCCATCATTTGCGCTGCTGCCGTTGACGTTGCTGCTGCTGTCACCACTGTTGCTGCTGCAGTAGTAATATCCCAAACCTTTGGAGCCCCTGCCGAAGAGATACCCTGCCTTGGGGCCTACGAAAATGCTGCTGGGGTAAAACTGGCGCGGCACAATGCTGCTGGTGTCGTTGCTGCTGCTGCTGTTGCTGCTGCTGCTGCTGCCGTCTTCTTGGGCGCCTGCTGCTGTGGCCGGCCCGTCTTCGGCCATTGCTGCCGTGCTGCAGCCGTCGTCAGCAGCTGCCCTTCCCGTGCGGGTGCTGGCAGTTGCAGCTGATGTGTCACGGGCTTGTTCTTGGCAGTCTGCTGCAGGCGCTGAAGTGCCCTCAGGGAGCCCTCCTCCTGCGCCCGCCTGCCCTTCTTGCTGCTGCTTTTGCTGCTGCTGTTGCTGCGGGTCTTCCGGCTGCAGCACCTGCCGGTGGATGCTGCAGCAGTAACTCAACACTTGCTCCACCAAAGAAGGATTCCGCGACAGCAGCGGCCCCAAAGACTTCAGCACAGACTCGACAGGCAGCAACGGCGCAGGCGTTTCTTCCGTAGGAGAGTTCCCGTGGACCTGCACGAGCACAGCAGCAGCAGCAGCAGCAGCAAAGCCGCACCGCAGAGTGGCAACTGGCAGGGGCAAGAGAAACACGCAACCAGACCCCAACCCGACCTGCTGCTGCAGCACAAACTACAGCCGGAGCATCGACACAGCCCAGCATCGAAAGCATAGCAGCAGCAGTAGTAGCAGCAGCAGCAGCAGGAAAACAATGCTGCAGGTGGCGCGGGGCTTGTACTTCGGCGTACCCTGAGGTGTGTCTGGTGAGCCATTCTGCTGCTAGCAGCAAAAGCCACTCGCAAGCCCCTCTCCACGCATGCAGCAATAAGAGAAGGCTCCTCGAGGACATTTGTTATTATGGCGCACAGCAAAGAGACCAGCCCGCTGCAGCTTGCAGTCCTCGGCAGCCGCAGCAGCACGCCCAGGCCCCAGCCCAGGGGCTGCTGCAGTTGCTGCTGCTGGTGGTGGTGGTGCTGGTGGTGGTGGTGCTGCAACGGCAGCTGCTGCTGCTGACTAGTCACGGGGGCCGCCCGGTAGCGGCCCTTCGGCTGGTGCAGCAGCAGCATCAAAGCGTTGCTGTAGATCGAGGTAAGCCGCCGCAGCAGCTGCAGCATCGCCAGCACTGTGTCGCCATCTGCTGCAGGGAACACTAGCAGCAAGTCTAGGCAAGAAGCAACCACTTGCCGCTGCTCTGCTGCAGTGAATGACCGCAGCAGCTCATCGAAGCCCACATCGCCAACTGCCCCTCCTGGTGCCGCCTCGTTACTGCTGCTGCTGCTGCTGTTGCTGCTGTCGCTGCCGTTGCTGGTGCTGCTGGTGCTGCCAAGCGCAGAACGGGTGGCTCTTGAGGGCGTTACCCCACGCTGGTTACTGCCCGTGACAGCAGGCGGTGCTAAACTGCTGCTGCTGCTGCTACTGCTGCTGCTGTTGTTGACGGCCCCAATGGAAGCCCCCACTGCAGAGGTAAGGGAATCCGCCGCCGCGTTGCTACAGCTGCTGCCAGTGCTGCTGCTGGTGCCAGTCTCATGCTGCTGCGCATCGTGTGCTGCTGCTGTGTCCTGCAGCAGATACATGTGCATCATTTCTTCCATGCACAGCAGAGAAGGCAAGACGAAGGCCGCAAGATATGAGGCAGCAGGTGCATTGAGGCCCGATGGGCGGTCGGTGATGATAGTACCAGTTGCTGCTGCTGCGCCTTGTTGCTGCTGCTGCAGCTGCTCTCTCTGCGCCTCCACGCCGTCGACTGGAATCAGCCGCAGCAAACCGTACTTTGGCACTGCAGCAGCAACACGCAGCTCCTGAATGGCCATGGTGCCTGTGGCTGGATAGCTTAGGAGGCACCAGCCCGGTAGCGGCAGCAGTGCGGAGGCCTTCACTGTTCCTGCTCCTGCTGCTGCTGCTGCTCCGGCTTCGCACGAATCCAGCATCTCGGGATATTGGAACCACCCCTTTACATCCGTCAGCAAAGGCTGGCCTGCTGCTGCTGCTGCTGAAGCAGTATGGACGTTTGCAGAGGCGTAGGTGCAGATGAGGGAGGAGAAGAGGGACATGGGATGTGCTGCAGCAGCAGCGGCCGCTGCTGCTGCTGCACTGCCTGGCTCACACGCCGCTGCTGCTGCCTCTGCACACTGCTGCAGCATGCTCTTCCAGCAGAAACGCCGGTGTAGCAAGTGCGCCATGAAGAAGCTGCAGCAGTACAGCTGCTGCTGGGCACGCATGCAGACGTGGACTCCAATTGCACGTTGAAGGTCGCTCTGGCGTGCTGCTGCTGCTGGTGCTGCTCCTGTACCCGCAGCAACTGCTGCTGAGGGCACCCTGCACCCCATGAGGGTCGGGTCTGCCTTCACTAGGTGCTGCACAGCAGCACGCAGGTATGCCAGTCTGAGCACCAGCATATACACTGCAGCAGCAGTGTTCTTCTCCACAGAGGTCAGCTGCCGCGTGCCCCTGTTGCTGCTGCTGCTGCTGCTCTCCACCTCCCACGGGTAAAGCTGCTCGGTTGGGGGAGCTGCCATCTGACCCCCGTCTTCCTCGGCTCCAGCAGAGGCAGCGGCCTCTCCCTGTGCTGCAGTTTCTGCGTCTGCGGCGCCTTCTTTTTGCTGCTGCTGCTGCTGCTGCAGCGGCTGCGGCCGCAGGTCGCAGGATGAGCAAATTAGCTTCAAAAATACCTCACAAAGACCCGGAACTCCCAATGGAGAAACGCATGCACTCGAAATGAGATCTTCAAGCAGCCTCTGCCGCAGCAAAGCCCCAAGCGAAAGGGCAAAGGCGTCACTGAAGTGCCCGTGCAGCACCCGCTGCAGCTGCGGCGGCCGCTTCACGTCGCGTTGCTGCTGCTGCGCCTGCTGCGGCTCATCAATCGTTTTGTCTTGCTGCTGCTGCTGTGGCGGAAGCTGGCGTCCCATTTCCTCGTCTGCGTACCGCAGCAGCAGCTCGAGCTCAGTGGGCTCGGGCGGCTTCGCTGCCTCCGCGTTCTGTTGCTCCTGCTGCTGATGCGGCTGCTCTTCCTGCTGCTGCTGCTGCTGCTGCTGTTGGTCCATCCATGGTTCTTGCGTTTCCGGCTGACCCGTTACCACAGCGAACGCATTTACCAAGGCTGCTGTCGACGCGCCAACGGTACAAGTGTTGTTGCTGCTGCTGCTGATGCTGCTGCTGGATTCCTGCATGTGCCTGGTTGCCAGTTCGCTGTTGCTGCTGGCAATGCTGAGCAGCGCCTGCAGCAGGGGCTGCGGCGGCGTTCCCCAGACTGCTTCTTGTTGCAGCTGGTCGCGCAGCAGCCCACAGGTCCACCTGATTTCTCCGTCTCCCGCCAGCTGCAGCGAGGGCTGCGACAGAGGCAAAGCAACAGCAGCAGCACTTGCTGCACTAAGTGCAGCACGCATGACACCTGAGGGCAGCTGCTGGGGCGGAGTCGCGTGGATGGCCCCATACAAAGTCTCTGCTGCTGCAGCCAACGGTGACACTGCGCGGCTTCCCTCTGAAGCCCCACCCCCTGCTGCTGTCCCCGCTGCTTCTGCGTTTGATGGAGAAGCTTCTGCTGCTGCAGTTGCTGCAGCTGACGGCGGGGCAGTTGGCGTTGCTGGTGTTTCTGCTGGAGCTTCCGCGGCTTGGGCCTCTGCGGGAGGTGCTGCTGCTGGCTCTGTTGGGGCTGGATCTCCACCTGGGTTGGCGCTGCTGCTGCTGCTGCTGTCTTGCTGCCCTGCTGCTGCCGGGCTGGCCTCTGGGGGAGCGGCCGGCGCAGCCGGTGCTGTAGCAGCAGCCTCGTCCCCACGGGGAGTGCCACCTGTGCTGCTGTCTTGCTGCTGCTGCTCTTCCCCAGAAGCAACATCCCGTCGCTGCATGTCCAGCAGAAAGTCCATTGCAGCCTCGACGCCTCTTCCGCCTGATGACTCAATTGCCCTTCGCGCGTCAGCGCGGGAAAAGCCCATCTCCACCAGCTGTTCCACTTGCTGGTGCAGCAGCAGCAGCTGCTGTTGCTGCTGCTGCTGGATCGCTGCAGCAGCTGCCGCCGCTGCAGCAGCAGCTGCTGCAGCAGCAGACCCGCCACCCGGCACCAGCATCCGTTGCTGCTGCGCTGTACCCACGGCCTCCACAGTATGTGCGTACACTCTTCGAAGCTGCTGCCGGCGCTGAGGCGTCTGCAAGGCAGCACAAACACGCACGCATCTGCTGCTGCAGCTGCTGCTGCAGCTGCTGCTGCACCCGGCGACGGTAAAAAGCAGACTGTGTCCCACCCCTAGCCCAAGCCCTCAGCAGCAAGCCCCAGGCACAAAACCCATTACCTGAGTATCCAGAAGGTGGAAGAAGATGCGGGGAAAGAACAAAATTGTTCTTTGCAGCGAAGGAGCAATGAGGACGTGCAGCTGCCGAGAGGCTTCGTCGCTGCAGTTATCGGACTCCCTGCCGGGGGTTCCCACGGGGGCGCCAGCTTCCTGCTGCTGCAATTGCTGCTGTTGCTGCTGCTGCCCCCTACGGCGGCTGCCCGCCCGCTTGGCTGCGCCTGCCGAGGCGCTCCCGCGGCCGCGTGCACCTGCAGGAAGAGGCTCCAGTGCTGCTGCTCCGACGGCTTCGCCGGGGTTCCCAGGCAGAGCAGCAGGGCTGGCAGGCGCCGCATCCGGAGCTGCTGCTGCTGCTCCTCCTGAATGCTTGTGCAAAGGAAAGTGTTGCTGCACCTGGCGCTCCGTTAGCGGGGCCCCACAGCGAGCTACGAAGACCCACCAAACATAAGTGTGGGCCGCTGCCTCGCAGCCAACACTTCGGAGCATTCCCACAGCATCTATGCAGGCAATGTCTGGGTGCACGATGATTTGCAGCAGCAGCTCCTGCAGCCGCTGCTGTTTTTGCTGCTGCTCCTCAGTCTCGCCGGCAGCAGCAGCTCCCGCTGAAGTCCACACAGATGATAGCTGCCCGCGGTCTGCCCAGCACAAGTAGTGCAGTTCCGAGTAGGCCACGCTCAGCGTCTCCAGCGACGTTGAATATGTCATCAGCTTGCTGCTGCTGCTGCTGCTGCTGCTGCTGCTGCTCTCGTCCTTGGTGCTGCTGCTGCTGCTGCTGCCGCTGTTGCTGCTGCTGCTGCCCATATCAAGGTCGGCTCCCGCCCCAACGAAACCGTCGGGAAGTGGGGCCGCGGCCTCTCCTGCTGCTGCCGGAGCAGATACCTGCTGCCCGTCATCCTCCATAGGCTCGAAGTAAGAGGGCCTTGGGTAGTACCTGCGGCAGCAAAAGCAGCAGAAGCTCTCCAAACGACAGTCAATGCACGTAGCAAAGATCCCCGCTAGCCCCACCTCCACGGCACCTGCAGCGGCACTAACAGTAGGACGCCACTGCCTTCCTAGCAGCAGCAGCAGCACTGACAGCAACAGCAGCAGCACTGACAGCAGTAGCAGCACCAGCAGCACTGACAGCAGCAGCAGCTGCAGCAGCAGCGAGAGCCACAGCCCACCTCACAGCCTGCGCTGTGAACGCAGAGTTCATGCAGCGCTTCCAGGAAGTGACCCTGTCCAAATAGGTCAGGCAGCTTTGCAGCTGGCGAGCTGCGACGTTTCGCAAATAGACCAGCTGGGAAATTGAGAGGCAGTCAGCAGCAATGTGTGCTGCTGCTTCCTCGACCCACTGGATGAAGACTGCCTGGCGTTCCTCTGCCTCCTGCTGCTGCTTCTGCTGCTGCTTCGGGTCTTGGTTCGGAACGATTGCAGCAAACAGGGAAGCTGGAAGCATCTGCCGTATTGTCAGGTGCGTGCACGGCTTGATCGCCTCGAAGGCTTCCGTCTCAGCCTGCTGCTGCTGCTGCTGCTGCTGATGCATCTGCTGCTGGTCCGGCTGCTGCTGCTGCTGCGCCATCGGATTGCAGCAGGAGCACACCCGAGTAGCCAAGAGTGCACACACCGCTACGTTGCATGCGGCACTGTAGTGAAAAGCCCGCAGGAAGGCAGAGAAACCTCCAACCTGAAAACGCGCAAAGCAGCAGCAACAGAAAGCGTGTAGCTATTCAGCTCGCAGCGGCGACAGTGCTGCTGCAGCGCAGCAGCTGCTGTGAGTCGCCCTATGCCCCTGCTTCTAGCGCCGCCGTCGCCGTTACTTTAAACGTTCTTCTGCTGCCGCGGTTGCTACTTTTGCTGCTATGCCTGTTGCTCCTCTTCTCCAAAGGCTACTTGCCTTGTGGAACAGGTCGAAGCTGAGGGTCATCAGGACTCCTTTGCTCTTCTCGTCAACGTGCAATTTGTACAGAATGTCGCAAACGTCTGACAAGTAGGAAAGCGACTGCGCCATTGAGAGCCCTTGAATGCTGAACTTGCTGCTGCTGCTGCTGTTGCTGCTGACGCCGCTGTCCACCTCCATCTCAGCCGCCGAGCTCGGAGCTGCTACTGCTGCTGCGCGTGCAGCGTCTACCGCAGCAGCTGCAGCCTCAGGCTCGACCAACTGCTGCGCGCTGCTGCAGCTGCTGCCAGCCGCAGCAGTCACAGCTGGCAGTGCATGCAGGAGCGGAGCCACAGGCAGCGGGACAGAAGGAATGCAGTCCAAGAAGCCTCTTGCCGTGTCCGCTATGAGGAACAAATGAGCTGACGCAATTTGCCGTTGCTGCGGCGACTTCCTGCGGAGCCCGCCGCCATTAATTTGGCGGCTCACCTGCAACAACAGCAGCAGCAGCAGCAGCAGGAACAGCAGCAGCAGCAATTCTGCAGGCGCCAAACAGGCCCATCAGAGTTCAGGCGCCCCGTGTTCGGCAAAAGAAATGCATTTCCACGAAACAGAGTTTGCTGGAAAGCTGCAGCGCGTGCTGCCCCACTTTCAAGAAGCAGCAGTAGCAGCAGCTGCTGCTGCTGGCCTTGCAGCAGCACAAGCAGCAGGCCACGGTCACGGAAGAAAATGCTCACCATGCAGAGGAAGTTCCTGAAAGTAAGGCACGCCGCGCGCAGCAGCTCCTGAAGGACCACTGGACTGTCTGCTGCTTCATCTGATATGAATTTGGCCCCGCTGCCTACTGCATTTCTTATGCCGTCGCTGCTGCTGCTATCGCTGCTACTGGCGGCGGCGGCGCTGCTGGCTTCTGCGCTGGCGCCGCTGCTGGCGTTGTTATTGTCACTTGTGCTGCTGGTGCTGCTGCTGCTGCTGCTCCTGCTGGAGCAGCCAGCTGGCAGGGGAGGAGGCGACGAGTAGGCGAATTCGCCCAGAGAGCTCCATAGCATGTCGTTATTGGAGAGAGGCTGATCTGCTGCAGCTGCTGCTGTGGCTAGCTTGGACTGCTGCTGCTGTTGCTGCTGCTCCTCGTGCAGCAGCCTGCTGGCCCTTACTGAGGGGTGCTCGTGGCTGTTGTGCTTCTGATTCAGCAGCGACGGGTTCTCACCGTCAGCCGGCACGGCGCATGCATACAGCAGCTGCAGCAGCCAAGGCAGCAAAGGCTGCAGCAGCAGCAGCAGGTGGCTGAGGTTCAACAGCAGCAACTGGTGGACGTGCTGCTGCTGGGCAAACGGCGGAGTAGCCCTAGAAGGCGTTGTCCCGTACGCCTGACAGAACTCGCGGTGTAGCGACAGCATGAGGGTGATGGCATTGCAGCAAGCATGCAACGCGAACACTAATTCTTTTCTTTCATTTCTTGGAATTGAGCGCAGAGGCTCCGGCATCGTAGAGAGCAGCTGCGGCAGCTGCTGCAGGCCTGCTGCAGCAGCGGCTGCAGCGACAGCAGCAGCAGCCTCCGGGACAGGCACACGGCAAGGCCAGAAGCCCTGTTCCTGCCAGCGCTGCTTCAGGGTCAGCAGCCGCTGCAGCGCGAAAAGCCCCCTGTCCAGCAGCAGCTGCTGCACTGCTTGCTGCTGCAGCGTGGAGTCGTAGGGCGCCGCATGGCGCAGCACGTGCACGAGGGGGTGTTGGGGGAAAAGGTGCAGCAGGCCGGGGGGCAGGCAACTGCTGTCGCACAGCTGCAGCAGCAGCACAATGCCCCCTCGAGAGACAAAGGACCTTTGTGTCTCCGTCGAGGCCAAGAACGCAGACAAAAATCGACCAGCATTCGCCAGCCGATCCAAAAGCCATTCCGAAGAAGATCCTCGCAGCTGCGCAGCCCAGCAAGAGAGCAGCAGCAGCACAAGCGCAGGCAGCAGTGCACAAGAAATAGCACCCGCTAGACGCAGCAGCAACGCCCCTCCGCAGCAACAAGAAACTGCAGCGGCAGCAGCAGCAGCAAAAGTCAGCTGTTGCTCACCTCCAAGTCCGAAACGTCCATAGGCCGCTGCTTGGCCTTCTGGCGAGTCTCTTCCGCTGCGCGGGCCGGCGACACGGGCTTCCAGGGCTCAAGCTTTTTTGCTGCAACGATGAGCTGCTGCAGCAGCAGCAGCGTCTGGCGGACCAGAGCGTCTCTGGCCTCAGTACCCCCCAAAGACTCCGAAGTCGAGGTGGACGAATTCGCTATGGCCCCCAGCACTTCGTCCAGCGCAGTCCCCAGCTGCAGAAGCACCAACAACAACCCCACCCTTTGCACACCAGCAGCGAAAAGCCGCTGTGCGGAAACAGCAGCCAAAGAACCAAAGAAATGCCCCAGCAACAAGCACAGCCAAGACGGTGCTTCAGCAGCAGCAACAGCACACCAGCAGCAACACGCTGCTGCTCAGAGAGAACAGCCGAAGCACCCAAGAAATGTCCCAGCAGCACGAACAGCGAACTTCAGCAGCAGCATAAGCACCCTCAGCGCTCTCACCCCTGCTGCAGCTTCTCCGAATCTGTCAAGAAGAACCACATCCGCAGAAGCAGCAGCATGCACCAGAAGAGAGCAGGCAGCCCACGGAGAGAAGCGCCCATCTGGGTGCTGCAGTGCTCCCTGGAATGACAGGAGGTCCTCCTGCTGCAGCTGCAAGTGCCGCCGCAGCAGCAGCAAAGCGTCCTTCTCCGCCTGCACCGCTCCCGCCTCGCCTTGTGGGGGCCCAGTCGCTTCTGCTGCAGCACGTGCTGCAGGTGGCGGTCCTGTAGCTGCTGCTGAAGTCGCTACTGCTGCACCTTCGTTCTGTGGGTGCGTCCCACACACTTCCATTTGACTTAACTCTTCGCCGCCGGTTGCTGCCGCGGTTGCTGCCGCCGGTGCAGCCTCTGCTGCTGTGGCTGCAGCAGTTGTTTCTGCAGCGCTCGTCGCTGCTGGATCACGTCCCGCTGGCTCAGCAACTTGGTCTGTTGCTGCAACAGGCGACTGGTGCTGCTGTCCCGAAGGGCCTGAAGGGGCAGCAGCGCTTGGGGTTTGCTGCTCCCCATCTGGCGCAGCCCCCTCCTGCGACTGACCTTGGTGCTGCTGCTGCTGCTGCTGCTGTTGCTGCTCCGTCTCTTGTTTATTTGGCTGCTGCAGTTTTTGTAGCTCTGAGTCGACGAGTTCCGTCACCTTGTCTTGCCTAAGAACGCGCAGGCCGGCAGTGTGCGAGGCCAAGGCGGTGATGAAAGCTCCCAAGGCGTTGAGAGTGCCCTCGTGCAGCAGCACGCATTGCTGCGCTAGCTGCTGCCTCCGCAGCAGCAGATGCATGTCTTGCTGCTCGCAGAGCATCAGTAGCGGCTGCTGGTGGTGGAACTGCGGGCTTACGCCTTCGCCTGGCCCCTGTCTCTCCTCCTTGTCCCGGCCCTCTCGCTGCATCTGCAGCTGCAGCTGCTGCTGCTGATGCTGCTGCAAGTAAATGCGCAGGTATGACGCATGCAGGGAGGCCAGCAGCAAAGACACGACGGGCAACTGTGCAATCGCTGTGGCGTGACGGGGGGCGTCCGAGACAGCGTCAGTAATGACCGAGAAGAAGGAGGCAACGCAGCCAACGCCGAAGCTGCAAAGACAGCCTCAAGGAAACAGCAGCAAGCCAGCCCCTGAAAAAGGTTTCATGCTTTCTCCAAGCTATTCATGCATGCACAAGTGAATGAATACCTTCTAGTCGACCATGAACATAACACAGGAGAACAACAACTGCGCAATAACAAGAATAGCCGCCACATGCTACAAGAGCTATAGCCATAGTAGCCATTGTACAGGAAGCAGCCCTGGTTAGAACATAGGTGCAGCAACAGCGCAAAAGGAACAGCCCATCACAGCGGTAGCGAAGACAGCTGCAGCAAACTATCGCAACAAGACTGCCCATGCAAAAAGTGGGCCTAAGTAGTTCATGCAAAAGCCAGAATCACAGCAGCAGCGGGAGCAGCAGCGGCCAGCGCAGCAGCAGCAACAACCGGAGCTAGAGCGGCAAGCAAGGAGCGAAAGCGCGGCAGCATAAAGAGCTGCAGCCAAAGCAGCAGCGCAAGCATTGGCTTTACTGTTCAGGGTTTCCGATGATATCTGAACACAAGACGGAGAGCGGCGCCCGGGGCGCCAGCATGTCTCTGAAGAACGGAGGATTTGCTTTGTGGTTTGCTGCCAAGAAATAAAACTGTTTCGTCGCCGTCTTCAGCACGCAGCGCCGCGTTTCCACTTCGCAGGCTTTCAGCCAATACAGCAGCCGCTCATCATCGCTGCCCTGAAGACACCCAAGTGACTCGGCACGGAAGCTCGCGAATTGGGTGTCTACTCGCGCATATTTATGCATATGCAAATGCATATGTTTATTTACACGATGTTCATACTATAAATACATGTATACTGTGTCAGTGCATGTGGGGAAGGGAGCCTAGGCATAAACACGCATAGTTGCCTTTTCAAGAAAACGACCAAATTCCATGCTGTTTACCTCTACGCACTTTGAACACAAACTGTAGATACAATCACCAAACAAGAAATGAACTACCGATACATGGAACCGCCGAGTACGTGAAAACACACTACAAAACAAACAAAACACATATATATTATATATATGTACATGTATACGCATGTATCTGCACTTGCGTGCTTCGGTGTCCAGAACGTTGCAACTTGAGACAGAATAGGCCAACACCCAAAGAACAATGGCAGCACAAAGAAAAAAAAGATAGCGAAAGAGAGGCTGGGATCCACCCGGATATGCAGCTACAGAAACAAGCGAGCAGAGAGGCACAGACATGAACACTTTTGCATCAAATTGCTCATATTTAGGAATCTTCACTCAAATACTTTGGGCACTGAGACACAGAACAAGTGACGGAGCCACAGGAAAGAAGTGTACGGGACAACAGCAGCCAAGGAGGCGAGGGAACGCATGAAGGGCAAATGCGGTGGTCTATCAACAAACAGTGCAAATGAGACATACATCCCTGGGGTAGACCCAACGCTCTGTCCAATCAATGCCGGCGTATGAGGAGCAGCAAATGGGGCTGTAGCTACTGCTGCTGCTCTCTGGAGCTGCCACAGAGGGCTTCTCTCCCCCGTCTACGGCAAGCTCGCTGCTCCCGCTGCCGCTGCCGCTGCTGCTGCTGTTTCTGCAGCAGCTGCAGCTTTCAACCCAGCGTTCATACTGCTGCATGTCTTTCACTCGTTGCTGCATGCAGGCAGCATCATAGAGCATGCGCTCCTGGAGCCTTTCAGGCAGTTGCAGTTCCTCTTGAATGAACTGCAGCAGCTGGCTGTTGTTGCTGGTGCTGCTGCTGCTGTGCTGCTGTTCGACATGCGCCTCCAGTGTCCGCAAGACTATCATCTGCACGGGAACCAAGAGAGGGTCCCGGTGACGCAGAAACCCTATAAGAGCTTTTAGCAGACCTGAAAACACAAACAAACCCTATCCCTGAGCCCTCAGGCCAAACCCCGCAACGCTGGAACGTGGAGAAGTCCCCTGCTGCAGAGCGGTGCAGCCCAACCGCCACAAAGCCCTCCTCAACTAAATGAAACTGCACCTCTTGGCCCCCACCTACACCAAACCTGTGCCTACAGACTCTGCCTCTTTATGCATCTACGATATGGGCCATGAGCCCTGAAGGCCAAAACCTAAGCCAAAACCTAAACTCTACGCCCTGCGCCTTCCGCTTTACCGCAAATACCCTGCGCCCTTGCTCAAGGGTCAGCGCTGAACTCCGTAGCCCCCGCTCTAAGAGGACTAACTACAGGGAAAGCCTGGAAATAGCCTAAAGTCTAGGCCCTAAAGCCAGCCCCAGTTTCCCCCGCTGACTTGGTTGTACGAAGGCATGTATGACGCTGTGTGTGGTGCCAACTATTGCGGAGTAGGCCGCCAAAAGGTGCATGAGGGTCTGCATGCGGTTGAGGTCATTTTCAAGTTGGCGCAGGGCCCCCGGCTTGGCCACTCGCTGCTCCCAAGAGCGCAGCTCGGCCTCATCGGCCGCCTCCACAACCACGTACTCGATCACCGGCTGCTGCTGCTGCTGCTGGCAGCAGCGGCATTTGCTGCTGCTCCTGCTGGCTCTGCTGCTGACCGCCGTGTGGATCCGAGACACGCGAAAGGGCCGGTCAGCAAAGGGGTTCGCCAACAGCCGCCGCAACAAAGACAGAAATAAACCGTAGGGAGAAAACACACCGACAAGACCAGCGGTTTGCCGATATAGGGTCTTGTCTTCCTGCAGCAGAAGCCCCAGACAACAAACGAAATACTCCGATGCTCAGGTCGCAGCAAGCAAGCAAAACCCCAAAAACCGGCGCCAGCTGCAAAGCCGCAGACTGGTGTCGAGTGCTGCAGCAGCAACTGCTCTTGAAGCTGCTTTCGAGAAAAAAGAGACTGCAAGCGCGCCCCAGGCGATGTCTTAAGATTTTAACAATTGCAGTTGCTGCTGACGAGGAGGAGCGACAGAAGGTCCGCAGCGAGGAGAAGAGTGCGGGAACTGATCCGTTCTGCATGCTTCAGCAGCGCCGCAAACTCCGGAAGCAGCAGCGGCTGCTGCTGCAGCATCTGGGAGAACTGAGCCGGAGATACAATCATCAGGCATGACAGAGAACACAAATAGACGTCGACCAAGCCGCCGCGGTACGCCGGACAACGCAGCCCGTGCAGTAAACGCATGCGATGGCGCACGGCCTGAAACAAAAAGGCAGCACCAGCAGAAGCAGCAGCAGGAGCGCAATTACATAAGAAATGGCAGAATCTGGCAATGCCACGTCCTGTCTGCTGGCCTTCAAACTCCATCTTAGAGTCCCGAGTCCGTACCGGATGGTGTTGCGGCGGTATGTTGTACTTGCGAATAATTGCCTGGCAGTGGGCCTCGAGGGCTCCACAAGCCGTGCAGTCTCTGCTGGAGCTGCTGCAGCAGTCCGGTGTGCTACTGGTGGTGCCGCTGCTGCAGGAAGCAGCAGCAGCAGCGGTGCTGGTGCAACAAGACGAGGCGGTCCCATCAAGATGGGGCACTGTGCGGCGAGAGAAGCCGGGCAGCAGCAGCTCCGAGCAAAACAACCTCACGGTGCGCGCTGCTTGCGGCTGCTGCAGCTGCTGCGGCTGCTGCTTGCTGCTGCTGCTGTCGCTGGGATGGTCCACCATCATGGCGTCACTGCAGCCACTTCCCCTCCTGTCTGCTGCAGCTGCTGCCGCTGCAGCAGCAGGAACACTCCACTGCAACTCGAAGAACCCGTCGATGTCCGACGGCAGCTCATCGGCGAGACAAAACGATAGGAGGTCCAGCCGGTTTGCCGCTGTTTCGCTGTTGCCGGCTGCTGCCGCTGCTGTTGCTGCTGCTGCATCGCCTTCAACCGCCATGCCCGCACCGTCGCCGGGGCCGCCGCTGCCTCTGCTGCTGCTCCTGCTGCCGCTGCTGCTGCTGCTGAGCCGCGGCAGAGGGGGCGGCGACGGCGAGTGCCTTGCGGTGCGCGCAGCTGCCAGCTGCGGCTGCCGCTGCAGGACAAAGGCGTCATAGGCCACGGGTCTGAAGCAGAACAGCGAAAGGCGATTCCCGAAGTCGGGGCAGTCCCGCGGAAGGGCATTTCTTCGGTTGCTGCAGCGCAAACGACACAGCAGCGAAAGCCCCCCTTAGGCCTGGGCTGCAGCTGCGGGGGCCCTGGAAGGGTGCTCTGCTGCTTGTTCTTAGGGGCGTGGGCCCTTCTGCTGCTCCCGCTGGGGCCCCAGCTGCGCAGCTGCTACGCAGCTGGGGCCAGCAGCAGCTGCTGCGCAGTAGCAGCGCGGCTCGGGCCACCAGCAGCAGCTGCGCAGCTGCTGGGCAGCAGCTGCACAGCTGCAGCAGCTGCTGCTGCGCAGCAGGGGCCAGAGCTGGAGAGGGCAGGGACAGCGGCAGTTACCGCCTTATGAAGCCGTAGCAGACGGCGAGGAGCTGAATGGCCCCGCAAACTATGGGGAGGCAGAAGGACTCGAGCAGGGCAGTGACGACATCCACGGAGGCGTAGAGAAACTGGCAGCAGCACAGCGCAGCAGCAGCAGCAGCAGCAGCTCCCCTGCACACAGAGCGGCCTCTGCAGGGGCCCCTGGGGCCCCCAGGGCTACCCTTCTGAAGACAAGTCGCGGGGGCCCCCGGCTCGCCGGGGGCCCCCAGGGCTCCCTCATTCCCCCATAGTGCACTTGCCTTGGAGGAACAGTTCTCGAGCACAATGTAAGAAGTCTCGAGAATGGCAACAACAAGGGCTTCACAAGGGACAAAGGACGGGGGAGGCTCTGCACGCAGCACAAGTCGCAGGGCCACTGCCGCGGCTGCCGCTGCTGCCGCTGCTGCTGCTGCTGCTGCTGCTGCGGGCTAGGTAACTGCGCTGAACCTACGGGAAGCTGCAGCCTCTGGCGCAAGCCCCGTGTGCACTGCGTAGGCATTCAGGAGATCGTCAAAGCGGTTTAGGGCCGGCGCCCACGCAGACACATCCCCCTGCCGTTCCCACATCCAGCCCTGCGCACACAGCAGCAAAGCCCCGCGCCCGCGTGCTGCTGCCTTGCTGCAGCAGCAGCAGCAGCAGCAGCACGACAACCAGCAGCAGCAGGACGACCAGCACCCGCAGCGGCAGAACAAACGCCAGCAGCAGCAGCAGAACATGCAGCAGCAGAAACAGTGCAACAACCAGCAGCAGTAGCAGCAGCAGAACAAATGGCAGCAGCAGAACAACCCGCTGCAGCAGCAGCAGAACAACTCGCAGCAGCAGCAGCTGCAGCAGAGCAACCACCACCACCAACACAACTAGAGGCAGCAGAACATCTACCACGCCCCGGTTGCAAGCTCTGAGCTCTTATTGTCCTAAAATGCGTCTCTGATGTGCCAGAGCGAAGAAAGGGGCTGATCACTTAAACCCTAAACCCTAAACACTAGCCAACTCCTCCGCAGTACCTTGAAGGGCCGCAGGTGGCCTAGAAGGTCCTCATCTTTGCAGGTGGAGATGGCGATGATGAACTGCCTCTGCGTTTCAGGAAGAGAAGAAAGTGAGAGGAGAAAGTTATCGCTCAGGCAGGCGGCCACCCGCATGGTGCCCTGTACGTACACCGCAGCAGCATACCTCCCCCCTGTGGACTGTCCCCACCAGTCAGAACACAACTCAAGTCTTTAAGAACAGACTTGGCTGCTGCAGAATTGCCAGCGGCCTGCTGCTGGTTTTGCTGCTGCGGCCACTGCTGCTGACGCACACGCAGCTGCACTAGTGCTGCGCTGCTGCACTAGCGCTGCGCAGCAGATGAGGCTGCTGCGGCTGCTGCAGTCGCGCAGAAGGCGACGTTATCGATACAGCTGATGCAGCGCGTCCGCCTCTCCACTTTCGCGGACTGTTGCTGCTCTTTCTGCTGCTGCTGCTGTTCCTGCTGCCCCAGCCGTTTTTGCTGCAGCATTGGCACGTGCAGTTGTGGAGGGCACTGCCGCGCCATTGACAGCTTCTGTGCCACACGGGAGCAGCGGCGGCTAATGCAGGCAATGACAGCAGTCCAAACAGCTGCTGGCAGCGCCGTTTTAGTGAATGTCCTTGGCTACGCCCCACAGCGCTGGCTACAGAACACCCTGGGAATTATGGGATTTCCGAGGCCCATTTCAGGGTATGAGCTACTGCGGGAAGCCCGCCGGTGTTCCCAGTGGACTCTGCGTCGCCTGCAAGCGTACCTGCGGAGAGAAGGATGGGGTGGGCTGTCGCGCAGTATACCTGCAGGTGTCTGAGTGGTGTGTGGAGACATGCGGGGCTTGTTTTCAATCCTGTGCTCCTGTTGGCTTCTTTAAGAAACCCTGGAGAGGCTTTGTAATGGGTTTCTGTGTCTAAACCCCCCGTTCAAGGCTAAAGACGACGAAACGAACCCTGCCGAGGTGGCACTAGGCGGCTGCGGCTGCGCCGGGAGGGAAGGCGCAGCGGGCTGATGCAGCAGGGAGAGAACAAGCGAAAGAGAGAAAGGGAATTTATACTTGAAAGCTGCAGAAAGAAATGGCAAAGTTAAAAGACGGGTTCCTACCAAGCGCACCGCACCCAACGCCGAGTGTATCTTCACGTTGGGCATGCAACAACACAACACGTACGCCACCGCTGCTCTCTCAGCCAAGCTTACTTCACTTGTGGGAGGAGCGAAAAGAGTTTTCCAGCAATTTGGCACGCTGCAAGCTTTCTAAAGAGCCTCCAAGCAGCAGAAGGGTGTATCTACATCCGCAGATGTGCACAGCCGCTCCCGCCGCAGCAGCTGCAGCTGCTGCTCCGCTGGACTGACTGCCCTTTCCTCACCCAACAAATCCTTAATAAATCCTAGTGGTCGCAGGCATCGTCGTAAAGTCACTTAGCCAACTGTCAGTATTATTACAGGGCTCCCATCCCTTCCCTTCTCAGCAACCCCTGCACGAGCGAGAAACCCTACAGGTGTCGACAAAAGGTATCAGCAGCTAGCTGTAGATACTCTAGACGCATGCATCAGCATATGGGTAGTACTCAGATCTAAAGGAGACTCTGTAGGCCTCGGTGGGATCGTTGGCTTTCTCTGAGAGTAGAACTGCTGCAAACTTGTATAGTCAGCACTGAAAAACACGGCTACGTGCAAGAACGATGTTGACGAAGTCTGAATGGAGGAATGCTCGGTGCTATAAATGCAACGCGACTATACAAAACCCACGATGAACCTGTGCGAACGCTCCCCAAATTCCCTGCTTTGTGCGTTGAAAGTGGCACTGTTGTGCAAATGAATATCGCCCATGCAATTGAGAAACTTCCGCTCGGAGTTAATGCCAGCGGTGAGGACTCGATATTGAAGTTTAGCCTGTCCGTTAGCAAAAGGCGCTATTATTTAGCTACGGCTCCTGGTTTAGGTAGCCTGTTGCGATTTCTCTTATCGAACAGTCGCGCCCTTTGTAGAGGCTGACTGCCGGTAAGCTGTATCCCAGCGGATGTTTTCCTTTTATATGCACATGCCTCAGGTGTCTTTACATTACGGATGAAGAGGCTAGCTTCAAGCAGCGTCTAGCGGGATCCAGCTTTAAGATTGTTTGTCTGGTGCTCGGCCGACTTTCACTTTAAAACTGGCGAAACTAAAGGAACAAATTCCTTCAGGATGAAGCCGTCGCGAGTTTGTGGCACTACAGCAATTGAAATGCTCTCAGAACGTTATTTACATCCTTCGTAGCTTCATGACACACTTTGGTAGTTGGCTCATATCCAATGAGTGCTCCCAACAAGTTTTGGTCAAGTAAATTCACCTTCCCCATGAAGGCTCGATTAGTCGCTCAGAGCTATACGACGCCACCCTCGCGTCATCGCTACTGCATTATTTTAACCGTGGAGCCATAACAGAACTCTTAAATACAGTACACGTCCTAACTCCATTATACAGTAGCAGCAAAATGGAAAAAACTGTAGCGGAGGCTGACTATTTGCTGATAAAGCAAAGCTCTACATACTGTAGACATCCATTGAAGAGGTATGCCATCTGTGAAGGGTATCTCGTGATGCTACTGCTCGCAGTGTGCATTCCACTGCCCTCTACGGCGGATGGCAAAGTATACATGGACTGAAATCCTGTGCAGAGTTGCCTGCACTGAAACTTGTCAGGCTTTTTGCAAGTCTCCATCTGTGAAGAAAATCAAGCAGCTAGCAGCCTTACCCCAAAGCCTCATCAATTTCTCCCTGGTTATGGCTCGTATATGTATAGTAATATGCCCGAGCTACTTTATAGGGAAATGCTCCGAACATACTGTACAAGCGGAAAGCAACCTAAAGAGCAGTCATTTTATGTGACGTTGCTCTGAAATGATCCCCGCCACAGGACGTTTTACTGATTGTCGCCACTTGCGACCCTCTCTCCCAAAGTGCAATTAAATTCATGTTGCTCCGTGAGTTGCCGGAAAAATCGTTCAAGGATGCAAAGATAACGCTCTGCCCTGAGCTGGTAGCGTTAAAATTACGTGCTTATACTGGTTTGAGACGTGGTCGGAGTGCATGAAAGGCTAGTCGATACTACCTTGTACTTCCATAGCTTAATGACTGAGCGAAAGGCAGTCTGTCACTTAGCCGTCTTTTTTGGGCCACTGGATCTAATGAGGGTTTTCGTCGGGGTCCATTCATGAACAGTAAAGACGTATCCGCAATGTCTTTAGTATAGTATGAAGTCGCGGAACGCAGAAGTTAGAAGCGAGCACGATGGCATCAAACGTTTCACTGTTTAAAAATGTTCACCTCGCTCTCTTCAGAGCTGTCGCGGTGTTTTGTAAGGAGTTTGTGTCGTGATCTCTGTTGGACTGGCTCGTCTTGAGCCTGAAGTGCACGCAGCGATACCCTCTGTCATTTCTCACGTCAAGCGGCCTGCTTTTTAAGTTACGGAAGAGCAGTACGAATTTTAGCCGTGGCAACGGAACACTAAGCCAGTTCGAATTCGCTCATGTTTGCCAAAAGAGTGTGTTGATATGGTTTTTCGTCTTTAGTTCCTTTATCCTAATGTGAGGACTCTATCATTTGAGAGGCAGATGCAGCGGTGCTTTTGACTCTTGCGCCGTCATATCTGACAATCGTCTTCCCAGAAGGCCTGCCCTGAGCGCATCTTGGGCTGTGCCACGCGAGGCCGGCACTCTCCTCTTTCCGTTTGGTTAATGCCGTCCGCTCGTATTCTGGACTTGTCGGATTGGAAACCCATTACTCACTAACTAATCGAGTCCTATGATCAAATCATATTCAATTGTTTCTACCAGCAAGTCGCTTGAAAGGCATTTACGTCGACATGACATTTTTAATCCAGTAACTACACTGTCAGTACTCAATAACTCGTCGTTTGCCATACTAAAAGTGCACTTCTCAGGGAGCTGCCTCTACAGCCCATGGATCTATAGAGCTGTGCGACTTTCCGTCGCATAGCTCTTTAGACCCACTGACTGTATTCATTTCCATAAATATCTCCATGTACGTTGACTGCATAAGCTCTCTTGTACCCGCGCCATTTAGAGGCTCCAGGCATTTTCCAGCAGCGTCTTCTTCTATCATCTCATTCAACTACTGTCGCACAAAACCAATAGCTTCACCCAGGCTAACAGAGCTCCCACTTCCCCCACCACCCTCACGTTCGTCGCGCATTACATCCTCTAGTTCTCCCTCTAAGTTCCCAACCTTGAGGTAGACTTATGCCACCGATTGAGAGGGGCCGTTCTATAGTCTCGGCAGGTTGATCCTGATAATTTTCTAGGCTCCCTAGCTGTTTCCGCTAGATCCGGGAGCGTGCCCTCTCTAAACGGGTCACTTCATCTCTACCTCGCCTCTGGCGACTTGGACATTCACCTCCGCAACGCTGAAGTTCGCTTACTGTATCGCTAGGTTTCGCTTTGTGTACGATCACGTGGTGGAGGTATTTTTATACCACATGGGATTTCCCGTTATTTACTGCGCGCAGGACAGTCCCTGGCAAATTTTGACCCATTTAAGCAGGCCTCTTATGCGTGTGCATGACTATGGGATTTCCTGATCGGGCCCCTGCTGCTTGGAAGTTTTTGGCCCGGTACTTTCTTGAATGACGCTCTCTGAAGCCCTTGATCTTGTCGCATTCCCCAGTCTTTTTCCACCGTTTTCCCGTAGCCGCTGTCTGCGTTTTGAGCAGACAGAGTTCCACTCACGTACGTGTACCGCTTTTCTGTTACGGGAACCAGGACTCGCAAACGTAAACTGAAACTGCCGCTAGCTCCGTTCAAGAGGACCATTCTACCTTCCCGCCTTTCGCGATTGTGTTATCTTCAGCGCCCACGAAAATTTGCACCCTACACGCTGAGCAGTTCTTTCCTGCCTCTATTGACATGCTGCTGCCTTATAGTTCTGCAAAGCGTGCCGTGCACACCTGGCGACAGGCCTTCCGTTCGCCACAAGGTACAATCTTTGTAACCGCCGCTTCACTAGGCCCCCACTCGCCAAATTTCATATTGCCGCTATGTTATACTCACTGCAGTAACACCGTGCTCATGAGGTAGTCAGTTAGTTTCGAGCTCCAACACGTTCTGCTGAGCGCCATTATTGGTTAAACGGATTTCCACTGTGCCTGCAAAGGTCCTAATCAGTCTCCTTCTCATGTTCCAGTGGTTTCTGATGCCCCCAAAAATAGCCTCTACAAACCCTCATATTTTAGGAGTTTTCGTAAGAGCTCTAGCTTTCGCAGTGAGGAGTTGAATGATGTTAATCTCGCTAGCAGCTATACCTGCGGCCCCGGAAACCAGAGGTGTACTTAAACTGTTGTTTTTCTCTGCCTTTGGGTGCTCTTCACGAAAGCTTACGGTTGCCTCACTGCGTGCTCGCTTCGTGGACACATCCGGCAATGACCCTCCGGCTACGGGGGATCGTCTGTTTCAAAGACGCATACCGCGCCTCGAGGGCTATCGCTCTTAAGAAGGCCCTAGATACTGGACTGTCAACAAATTACAAAGAATTCGGCAC